TGAAACTTAGAAGTAGACAATATTTTCCAAAATTCCTTTTGATATTTTTCAAAATTTTGAAAATAAATAGAAGAAGAAAAATATTTTCAAACAAGATAATCTCTCTGGAAGAATATCTTGGAATTCAACAAATATCTCTCTGAAGTTGAGGCAAGGGAAGCCAAATTTTTGGGGCAAAGTTTTGTGGGGCAAGGAAAACAAATTGTCTCAATTTGAAGTTTACAAGAGTACACCCTGGTGGAAATGAAGACAACTGAATCAATGATAGAGTGAAGACTACTCACTCAATCATTCTCTTTCCAGATCGAGAAAACATACATCAACACATACATACATGATACATGAAATTTGCATCATTGCATCAAACATTTATCATGTGCAATAAAAAAATTGATTTTCCCTCTCATGAGGACAAATTCAAAATTTCATCAAATAAAATATAAACTTCATCATGACAACCATAAACATCCAAGATAATCATTCATAAACAAATCATTTATTGATATTTCAGGAAATAAAAGCTTGTAAATGACCAAATGACTTTAACATGGAAAACAATGTCATCTACAGATTCAACCTCCTGAAGTGAACGATCATATCACCTGAAGGCATTTCCTCAACATGCAGAAACAAGAAGACTGACTGTTGCCATTGAGATTGTTTCTCTCAAAACAAAGTGTCGTCTCGCTAAAGACAATTTTCCTAAAATACAAAATTTGTCTCGCTTGAGACTGTTTTCTCTAAAAATAATTTTTTTCTCGCTTGAGACAATTTCCCTCAAAACAAATTTCATCTCGCTTGAGACATTTTTCCTTTGAGATTGACAGTTTGAATTTTGTTCACTTGAAACAAAGTTGATCTCACTTGAAATGGTTTTCTCAAAACAAACTTTGTCTCACTTGAGACAGTCTTCCTTAAGACACGAACTTGAGATTGTTTTACTCAAACCAAATTTTCTCTCACTTGAGACAGTTTCCTTCAGAATACAAATTTCAAAGTTGTTTTACTTGAAACAAAATCTCCCTTGAGATTGTTTCTATCAAAACAGATTCATCTCACTCGAGATAGTTTTTCTTTGAAACACAAATTCTGAAATTGTTTCTCTTGAATAAAAAAAATCATCTTTGAGATCGTTTCCCTTGAAACGAATTTTGTCTCTCTTGAGACAATTTCTCTTGAAAAATCATCTTTGAGTATGTTTTCCTCGAAACAAATTTTGTCTCTCTTAAGATAGTTTCTCTTAAAACATTATCCCTAAATATGGCCAGCCATCCTCATCGTTTAGGAACCGTATCATCCACCAACCAAATCTCCTCATCACGTAGGAGTTGCGTCAACCTTAGATAACTAGTCGTCCTCATCATGTAAGAAATGTGTTATCATCATCCCTAAAGATGGCCAGCTATCCTCATCACGTAGGAATCGTGGCATCCACCGACCAGATCTCCTCATCACTTAGGAGCTGCGTCAACCTTAGATAACCAGTCATCCTTAGCACGTAGGAACCGTGTTATAATCATCTCTAAAGATGGCCAACCATCCTCATCACGTAGGAACCGTGTCATCCACCGACCAGATCTCCTTATCACGTAGAAGTAGTGTCACCCTTAGATAACTAGATTTCCTCATCACGTAAGAACCATGTTGTCTCCAAATTTACTTAAAAACGACCAAAACTCTTTATCGTGGATGAGCAGTGTCGTCTTCAGTAACAAATTATCTCCCAATTGACCAGACTTCCTCAACGAGAAGGAACGTCGTTATCTTCAGCAAACAATTTACCTGAAAGCGGCCAGATCTCTTCAATGTAAATGAGCAGTGTTGTTTTTAGCATCAAAATTACCTCCAAAAAGAATGTCATCAACAAACAATGATTACTTAAAGAAATGAGAGCCTATCAAAGATAAAGAAGAGCTTGCTCAACCTTAACTGTTGCCTTTAAAAAGGAGCGAATAGTTCATAATAAGAAGAATTCGGAGCTTGAGACTTGTTGACAGTCCAAAATTTGGTGTTTTATGTCTTTTCTATATTCTTGTTTCACAACAATGAACAAAGAGGGGCAGATGTAATAACCAATTTTTGTCCTAACCTCTACTGTTGTCGTTAACTATACAACAACCCTATACCCAACTGCCAGTCACCATCATGTTCCCTTACCTCCATGCCAATAGCAAGGTCGACCTCTCCCCCAGAGCATGGCACCATCGAACACATCAAAGAAGAAATCAGCAAAAAATTTTTGTTTTATAATTTTGTAATGGGTATAAAATCCAACCGAAAAAACAGTGTGAAGAGGATTTTTCATCAATAAAAAATATAATCGAAATTGTTTCAAGCAAAGTAAAGGTATTCTAGCTTTTTTATATGCATGTTAGATCATTTAAAGAACGAGAAATTGAAAAGAGGAACAACAATACAAAAAGGGAATTTTCAAGGTTTATTTTCAGATTTTTTTTCTCATTTCCATACAATTTTCGTCCTTTTTTTAAGTAAAAGAAAAGAGAAGAGATATTTTGTTACCTAATTCAGGCGAGTCCTTCTCCAGGGTGGCCGGAGTTAGGTTACAAGGTCGACTTACGGCCAGGATTCGGCTGAGGAAGGCTTTGTGAAGTCTTGGTCGAGGCGTGAGTTTAGTTAGAAAAGAGAGAATGTGTCGGTGTGGTTCAGGGTTTTTGTTTTGGCCTTTTTGGCTGCCTTCGGTGAAGATCGGAGCAAGATGATCACGTAGACACAGTCATCGGTGGCACCGGCGAGCCTTAGGGAGGCTCTCGACCGAAATTGAAGGAGAGGGAGAGTTAGGTTAAGCCATCGGGTAGAATGAAAGTTGGGAGGAGAGAATATCTTATTTTAGATTTTGGGTTAATCTCCCCTAGGGTCCCCTCCATTTCTTGTCATATTTTACATTGGTCCCTTAAAGTGTTAGGTTATTAACGTTCAAGTCCTCTCAACTTCTGCCGTGTTTTGCATAATGATCGTCAAATTTTTGCGTAAAATCACGATTAAACTCTCCTATGTTTAGCGCATTTTTATGAAATGGGCACCAAATCTATACGTAAAATTGCATTAAACCCCCTCAAATGTTGTTGTGCTTTTACATTCCAATTCCTAAAGCTCTACATTTTATTTACTTCATTTATGACTCCTTGTTTATTTTATCATTTGATTCTGATATCTTGTATTTACATTTGTTTCAATTTAGTCATTTCTTACTCTTGAATATATTTTGGTTAAATATTTGCTCCTAATAGATAATTTATAATTATGTCATTTTGGTCCTTTAAATCACTAAGTATGCTTAGTTTCCCTTATTTGCATTCTGTTTTTTTATGATTTCATATTTCTATGTTAGTCCCTTATTTATGTGCACACTGGTATTATTGCCTCCACCTTGTTTTTATAAATCACCATTGTTTTTTTAATATACTAAAATGAGAAAATTTCATTGTAAGAGAAATGTACGAATACATTTCCTAATTAAAGGGAATGTATCTTTTCGAGGATTTTTCGCACAAATATTTTTGTGTATTCAATAGTTTTCTTCGCTTTACGTTTATTTATTTTTGATTATTTTTCAGTTATTTTTATTTTGTTTTATTTTGTGAAAAATGTGAAATATTGTCTTTTTGTGAGGAAAATCTATTGGAAAATCTCCTAACTACGAAGGAAATACATTCCGGAGGATTGTTCACTCAAAAGGACATTCTTTATCTGAACATTTTTATAATTTAATATAATATTAATTTTTTTAAACTATAAAATTAAAAAAACGCTATTTTGTGAGGGGAATCCATGAAAAAGTCTCATAACTATAAAGGAAGCATATTTTCTAGGATTGTTCGTATCAAATGATACATTTTTCTTTCATATAAATATTTATAATTTATTTTTTGATTAAATAAATAGCTTTGTTCTATAAGAATGTATGTATTTTGGATTCTTTAATATTTTTGACTCACTACATTTATTATTTTAATTTGTTTTTTTAATTGACACTTATTTAAATAAATTTGAATAAATAGAATGATCATAATTTAAATATTATTTTCGAAGTTTATAATTTCTAATATTTAAGCAAGATATAATCGTTTAGGTACCAATCCACACACGTAATCGATTCTCGAACTCTTAAAAATTAATCTTTAGTAAAACGTAGACTATTTTTTGTCGTTTAATGTTTTCAACCTACTAACTTAAAGGTTGGTGATGACTCTAAAATCAAATTATTTTCAAAATTATATTTCATCGCCTTTCCTGAACGAAATTAAATATTTTTTAAGTCTAACGGATCTTTGAGGAATACATTATGACAAGTGGCAAAGGGGTGATTTTAAAGGAGTTGTTGCAGGCGCAATTGCATCAAGAGACGCAGTCTTGATGGTTAATTCTACATTGGCTAAAGATAAGCATACAACAATCACAATGGTGGAACAAGGGGAAGAGGTGATGGTTGTAGCTCAGCTAGTAGCTCCTTGATTGGGCCAATCAGAAATATAAGTTCTAAAGCGGTTAATCGTAACCTTACTAATACCAAGGGATTGCCCAAAGGGGACCGAGAACTAAGCAACATGAATCAAGTATGCAAGCTTTCCTGCGAAGGTTGAAAAAAATACCTACCCACCTCAATATAACGAGTGGTAAAAGCAGAAGTGGAAAATTGGTTGGGAATGATGATGGTTTTCAACATATACCCAAAGGACAGGTTCAATGGTTTGCTATTAAGGCTTTTGAGGGGGTGAATAATTCCTCGACTCAGACCTAATTTGTTGGGTCTCCTTTCTCTATTTGTTTATGGTTAATACAATCTTCTGGAACACTCAGGGCGTGCTCAACCCTGTTTTTAGATGTTATTTCAAATTATTGGTGCATTTACATAATCCTAATGTTGTTGCTCTGTTGGAGCAGAGGGTTAACGGTTTGAAGGCTAATAACTTTGTTAAATTTTTCGGTTTGATTTTTCTTTTAGAGTCGAAGCTACGGATTTTTCTAGGGGTATTTGAATTATGTGGCGTAATTCTATTAAGCTTGATATTTTGACTGTCTCTAACCAGTTTATTCATGGTCATTGTTTGGATTTGCTGAATTGCCATTCTTTCTTTATTACGTTTGTTTATGCCAGCCCGAATCCGTTGAAGCGACATCAAGTTTGGGAGCAGTTGAAGGCTTTAGAGCCGGATCTGAATCAGCCGTGGGTTTTAGGCGGTGATTTCAATGCCATTTGCAACATCTCTGAGCGCTTTGGTGGTTGTAATAATTGTATTGGGATTTGCTCGAGATTCTGTGATTTTCTGTTCCAGTCTGGTCTCTTAGATATGGGGTTTAAAGGCCCCCAAGTTTCGTAGAAGTGGGGACCTTTGTAATAAGTAGTACGATTCTTTTTCTTTATCCAAGGCGTTCCGTCGTCAAAAACTGGGTTCGGATCATAGACTTATCCTGCTTGTCTCGGATCCTTCAAAGCGTAATAAAGTGGACCACCCCTTCCATTATATCGATGCTTGGAATGACCATCCGAGTTTTCATGCTTTAATTGCTGATCCGTGGCGTAAGGAGAGTATGGGTGTTAACATCAACAATATCCAACGTAATTGCTTGAGGTGGAATAATGACACCTTCGGCCTTATTGGTCACCGCAAGTCCCGGTTGTTTGCTCGTATTAAAGGTATTGAGAAGGCTTTAGAGGATAAGATTTCATCTTTCCTTGAAGATCTTGAGATCGAGCTGAAAAATGATCTTAATCTTGTGCTTGACCAAGAAGAGAGTTTTTGGCATCAGAAATCGAGGAGCCATTAGATTGATAAGGGGGATAGAAACACCAAATATTTTCGTTCTTAACTCATGGCTCGACAGAGAAGAAGCTCTATCCGAAAGCTAAAAGTGGGCGATGGACGTTGGAGTATGGATCCTGATGAACTCAAGGCTAGTACGGTGGAGTTCTTTCAAACTATTTTCACTAGTGATGCTAATAATAATAGAGCTCATGCCCCCATCGGGTAATTTTGATCCTATTGATGATTCTGGCAAGAGACCTTTGCTTACGAGTGTCTCTCATTAGGAGGTTCGTTCTGCTCTGTTCTCCATGAATCCTTTCAAAGCTCCAGGAACCGATGATCTACATGTGGCTTTCTATTAGAAGCATTGGGATTCTGTGGGGGATTCTATTGTGCAATTTGTTAAAAGATTCTTTTATAGTGAACCCCTTGAGGACTGGGTGAATCGTACTCAATTTTAATTCCGAAGGTTGAGGTGCCTGAGTCTTGCAATCAATTTCGGCAGATTAGTTTGTGCAACGTACTTTATAAGATTGTTACTAAGATTCTGGTTAATAGATTGAAGTTGTTTCTACCTAATTGGGTTCGTCCTAACCAAGTGACCTTTATTGCCGGTCGTAGCATCACAAACGATATTATTATCACTCAAGAGACGGTTCATTCAATGTCTATTAAATATGGCAAGAAGGCTTGGATGGTGATAAAGATTGACCTTGAGAAAGCTTATGATAGGCTTGAGTTGGACTTCATTGAAGAGATCTTGATTGACATGGATTTACCAAGTAAGTTTATCACTCTTATTATGCACTGTGTTCGTTCTGTTTCTACGATTCTTTGGAATGAGGAGATTACAGATGTTTTTAAGCCTACTCGGGGTATTCGCCAAGGTGTTACTTAACACCGTTCCTCTTTGTTCTTTGTATGGAGAAATTGGCATAAGAAATAGATAGAACTGTGAACAAGGGTGATTGGAAGGGTATTTGCCCTTGTTGGAATGGTCATGTGTTGACACATCTTTTCTTCACTGATGATCTGGTCCTTTTCTTTGATGCAACGAGAGGACAAACTTCGGTTATTAAAAGGGTTTTGGTTAGATTTTGCTCTTGTCTGGACATCATGTTAGTATCTCTAAAACACATTTATTTCTCTAAGAACTGTGAGTTAGATCTCCATCATCAAATTGCCAAGGATTTTGGTTTCAAAATTGTAACGAACTTAGGCAAGTATCTTGGTGTGCCACTTCTTCATTATCGTGTCACGAAAGCAACTTATGCTTATTTGATAGAGCAAGTTAAGAGACGTCTTTCAGGATAGAATGCTCGTATACTCTCTCTGGCAGGAAAGATTACACTTGCAAAATCTGTGTTGCAAGCTACTGAATTATGCTGTGCAATCCACTTGGCTATCTAAAGTTATTTGTTCTGATATTGAGAAATTAATTCGACAGTTTATTTGGGGTAATGGAGGTGGAAATTATGGGATTTCTCTTGCGAGCTGGTATATGTTGAAAGCTCATGTCGACTGTGGCGACTTAGGGATCCATGACTTATCCAACCATAACCATGCTTTCCTTATGAAAATAGGTTATAAGCTAGTTGTGGATGATAATATCCTATGGGTTCGCATCCTTAAAGCTAAGTATCATTGGGAGGACAGTTTACCTGGTACTCTTTGAAAGACTAATTGTTCGAGACTGTGGAAAGGTCTTATTGAATTGTGGGATGATGTTTGTAATAGTATTTGTTGGACTGTGCGTAATAGGATGAATACCGACTTTTAGTAAAATATTTGGATAGCTCAGGTAGGTCTTTTGGCTCATTATCTTGGCATGAGATTCCTACCCCACACTAATGTTGTCTCCTTTGTAACCGCGTCAGGTTATTGGGATGTTGTTAGACTTCAATGCGTTGTCTCGGATCATGTAGTACATCATATTTTGGCTATGAGACCAACAATGATGTTCCAGGATAACGTTGGGAAGATAAACGTATAATCACTACTCGTTTGGTCTATCGCTACTTGAAAGTTTGTGATAGGTATGTGTTGAATAGTGATTGGAAATTTATTTGGCGAAAAGATGTTTCTCAAAGAATATGGGTTTTCCTTTGGCTAGTTAGGAGTAATAAACTCTTTACTAATCTAGAGCATACTCGTCAGCACCTTACAAACTCTGTCACGAGAGAAGGGGAGTTAGGGTTTGAAGGTTTTAATTTGGGGAAAAATCAAAGAAGGAAGTTGGGGAATCGTCAGCAGAAAGGGGGAGAGGAGAGAAAGGAATTAGGGATTGAAGGGGATTAGGGATTGAAGTTTTATCTGAAGAGGGAAAGGCAAAAATAAGGACAGGAGAATGGGTCATACGGGATTGGGTATGGGTTAATAAGGTAACTGGGCTTTATTACTTAGACCCAATTAATATATCAGTAGGCTTATGAGTTAAAGGGTGGGGCAGGTCTGGATCTAAGTCAGAAGTGAGAGGGATGGAAGGGTGAGTCATCATTTAGACGGTTAATTTGTTAGATTGCTGAATTGCTAGCTGGAGGTACTGTCTATATATAATTGTACCCATAATCTTTGAGGATTTTATCTTGAGAAATGAAAATGCACACTTTCTGTAACCTATTCTCTCTATTTTCTTAAATCCCTAAAAAATTCTTCTATCATTCTATCCTAAACCATAACAAATTGGTAATCAGAGCTGAGTTCTTTGATCTAAACCATTTTTCACGCTGGGAAAGACAAGAAAGATGCAAAAGACTGGAACCATTGAGGTACCAGAACAAGCAGCAGAAGTGAAGGAAGAGACCTTACCATCTTGGTGGGTGGGGCAGAAAGCAGAGCTGGAGGGAAGGATACAGACCTTGGAGGAAGGAATGACTGAGAATCGGGGATATTTGCAGAGAATCCTACAGCTGGTCAATCAAGCAGCTGAGGAAAAAGACTCACCTCAGTCAGCAAGAAGTCATCCACCAGCAGCTGAAAAACAAAACAGAGGTGAAGGTAAACAACCATGTTTAGTTACAGTTCTTAGTGAGCATGAGAAGTATACTTTTAGACCTAATGAACCGGGGATATTAGCTGATAAACCTGCGGGGTCTACTGATCTTCTACCTTTTAATCAGAAATTGCAAGAAGAAAATATTATGGGCAGTTCTAGTGAGGTTAAAGTAGACAGTAAAGGTTTATTTGGGAGTTCAGGGCTTATGTTACCTCGACCTAAATTAGAACTACAGATGTTTGATGGTAGTAATCCCAGAGGATGGGTGAGAAAATGCCAAAAATACTTTAATCTTTTGGGAGTCCCTGAGGAACAAAAATTGGATGTGGTTGCAATGTATTTGATGGGGAAGGCTGAGACATGGTTTGATGGCTATATTATGTAGAAGCATAGAGTGACTTGGCATGAATTTGAGGCTGATTTGTGTCATAGATTTTGTGACAGAAACTATTCAGATATCATTGAAGAATTTAATAAGTTAATGCAAAAGGGTAGTGTAGAAGAATATCAAGAAAAGTTTGAAGAGTTAAGACCCTATTTGCTACAACAGCATATGCATTTAGGGGAAGATTATTTTGTTTCCAGTTTCATTAGTGGTCTGAAGGAGGAATTGAAACATAAGGTGAAGGTGTTGGAGCCCAGAAATCTGTCTGAGGCTTACAGGCAGGCCAAACTTTATGAGTTGGCTAATGATATGGAAGGTAAGAAGTATAAATATTCTCAAAAAAAATTTCCTTATACTTCTTCAGGTGGTCAACAAAACAGTGGGACTAAAAGTTTGCAGCCTAAGACAACTCTTCCAAATTCAAATACAAGGCATAATTTACTGGAATATAGAAGAGCAAATAATCTATGTTTTAAATGTGGGGAAAAATTTACTCCTGGACATCAGTGCAAAGTTAGACAGTTGAACAGTATGGAAGAGGAAGAAGATTCTGCTGATCAGGAATTGACAGAAGGAGAAAATGGAGAAGGGAATGATGTAGCTAAAGAAGCACTGGAAATTTCTATCAATGCTATTACAGGTAATGTGGGGCACACTACCTTGAGAATTCAGGGTTTTATCAGAGGAAAACCAATTAATGTGCTAATTGATAGTAGAAGCACACATAGTTTTGTGACTCCTAGGTGGGCCAAAGAAGGAGTGGAACTTGTTCAGACTCAACCATTAGTTATTACAGTAGCTAATGGGGAGAAGCTATTCAGTACTGCCAAAAGTAATCAAGTAAGTTGGAAGATGCAAGGCTATGAATTTCAGCATGATTTTAGAGTTTTGTCTTTAGGGGGCAGTGATATGGTACTGGGAGTGGACTGGATGGAAGAGTTTAGTCCTATAATGATGGATTTCAAAGCCAAGACAATTAGTTTTGAAAATGATGGAAAGACTGTTATGATTAGAGGAACTCAGAAATTGCCAACCATCAAGACCATCTCAGGTGAAAAATTACAGAAGTTAGTGGAGAAGGATACTGAAGTAAATGGAGAAATCTATTTGTTGAATGCTGAAGTGGAGGAAAGTAAAATTCCTCTATATTTACAAGATTTATTAGAAGAGTTCCAGGAAGTGTTTGAGGAACCTAAAGGGATGCCTCCTAGCAGAAGACATGATCATGTCATTGTTCTGAAACAGGGGACACAGCCAGTCAATTTAAGACCCTATAGATTTGCTCATCATCACAAGACTGAAGTTGAAAAACAGATTGCACAAATGTTAGCCTCATCTATCATACAAGTGAGTAAGAGTCCTTTTGCTTCTCCTTGTTTACTTATTAGAAAAAAAGATGGAACTTGGAGGTTTTGTGTGGACTATAGGCAGCTTAACTCTTATACAGTTAAGAATAAATTTCCTATTCCTATAGTAGAAGACTTATTAGATGAATTACATGGGGCTAAATTCTTTTCAAAGATTGATCTGAGATCTGGTTATTGGCAAATTCAGATTAAAGAGGAGGATGTTCATAAAACTGCTTTTAGAACTCATCAAGGGCACTATGAATTTAAAGTTATGCCTTTTGGCCTGACTAATG